CCTTTCTTCATGATGACTTGGATGAAGAAATCTACATGAAACAACCTTCTGGCTTTATAGAAAAAGGAAAGGAAGAGATGGTGTGTAGGCTCAAGAAGAGCTAGTACGGTTTAAAATAAGATCCTAGACAGTGGTATAAGAAGTTTGATAACTTCTCGCAGAGCAATGGCTATAGAAGATGCAATTCAAATCATTGTTGCTACTTCAAGAGGTTCGAGTCCAGCTATATTGTATTATTGTTATATGTAGATGACATGTTGGTTGCAGGACCATGTTTAGAGGGGTTAAACAAATTGAAGGAGCAGTTAACGAAGGAGTTTGCTATGAAGGATCTAGGTGCAGCAAAGCAAATTCTTGGGATATGAATCAGTCGAGATGAAACTGAAGGGATGTTAAAGTTGAGTCAAACTGAATATATTGAGAAGATACTTCAGTGATTTAATATATAGAATGCTAAGCCTGTTGGCACGCTCCTTGGAACTTAGTTCAAGTTATCTGAGGAGCAATCGCCCAAGACGGATGTAGAGAAGGAGCACATGAGTAGAGTGCCATATTCATTAGCCATTGGTAGTCTTATGTATGCGATAGATTGCACGAGGTCGGATATCGCTCATGTAGTAGGAATTGTTAGCAGGTTTGCAAGCAATCCAGGGTAGCAGTATTAGGAGGCCGTGAAGTGGATATTGTGATACTTAAGAGGGACTATGGATATGCCACTTTGTTTTGGGAGAGAGGAGTTTGTACTGTCGGGATACGTGGATGCAGATTTCACCGGTGATCATAATACGAGGCGAAGTACCATGTGGTATGTTTATACCTTAATATAAATGGCAGTGAGCTGCATCTAATTTTTGCAGAAGATAGTAACATTGTCTACGACTGAGGCAGAGTATGTCGCAGTGACTGAAGCTAATAATGAGATGATTTGGTCAATTAGGTGCCTAGAAGAGTTGGGTTTGAAGCAGGGAAACGAAGTTCTTTATTGTGATAGCCAAAGTGCTATACATCTTGCCAAGAATCTAGTATGTCATACCAGAATGAAGCACATTGACGTACGTTACCACTTCATACGCTCGCTGATAGAGGACAGGAAGTTACAGTTGGAGAAGATTTTGGGGAGTCAAAATTCTGTAAATATGTTGACAAAAGTAGTGACCATCGAGAAACTAGAGTTGTACGCAACTTCAGTTGGCCTTCACATGTAGGAAATGAAGGCGGAGCCACACTAGGAGGAGGTGGGATCACCGAGATTGATATTGATTGAAGACAGAATATTTTCGGTGAGGAGAAGATGCTTGCAAAGATGACGAGAGTTCGGAAGAGCTTCACGCTGATTGTGGTTTGGTCTTCAAGCTGGAGATTAGTTGGTTTTGGATGTGTGAAGACCGAAACCTAAAAATAAATCAATAGCAAAAAAAGCCACTGTTCAGTCGACCAAAGAGAATATCAGTCGACTAACGAAACCCTCTGCAATTATGAAAAGTTTCTGCTCGGTCGACCAATACTTATCAGTCGATTGATATGAGCTCATCAATCGACCGATGGGAGTTACCAGTCGACCGATAATGTGCACAAGCAGTGCACAAGAAGTAACTGTTCTCATCAGTTGACTGACGCAGTGCATCAGTTGACTGACGCAGAGCATCAGTCGACTGATGTCGGGTTTTCCAGCTTTTCGGGTTCGGGTTGGATAATATTTTGGGCTAGGTTTCATATATACAAACCTTAAACATTTTATGGTTTGTAATACATGAAAAAAGATGGTTTTGAGAGCACTTTGAGATCAGAGGTCTTAGAGAGAGAGTGGTCGTTTGCAGACATTGTAATCTTTATCAATATTCAAGGAATTTTCTAGTGTGCCTCCAAAGGACGTATGCACGTTTGTCGAACCTCATTAAATCTAGTGTTCTCACTTTGTTTTTTCTTTCCTGCATGTTTTTTGTATTTTCTGTGATTTCTTGCTTGCTATACTTTTTTCACAAGATCCAGAAGAGCATGGGTTGTCGTTTGTTGCAACCCCAACATTACAAACCACACATATATATACTACTACAATGACTCATAAATTTCCTAGCAAAGACTCTTGAATTTCCAACAACATTCATGCATCTACATATTCATGTATTTGACTCCTCAAACAAATAAATTATCATCTCAATTCCCCAAGGTAATTCAATCAAGTTTATTTTCAACATTCTCCCTTAAACTTGATACTTCAATCATGCCAAGCTTGTCTCGCAATAAAGTAAACATTACATGCTTCAATGACTTAGTAAATATGTCAGCCACCTAATCTTGTGATTTCACGAACTCAATCTCAACCTTCTTGTTCTTTACTTGATTGCGGATAAAATGATATCGAATATCAATATTTTTGCTCCTTTCATGAAACATTGAATTTTTTAAAAAGTGCAATAGCTGACTTGCTGTCAACACAATTTTTGTCGGTTCTTCTTGTCCGAACTGAAGATATTTGAGCAAGTTTCTTAGCCAAAGTGCATGAGTGATACCCGATGATGCAGCAATATATTCAACTTCACAAGTTGAAAGACTGACTATCGGGTGCTTCTTTGAAGACCAAGTAAAGGCAGTATCACCGATAAAGAAAGTGTAACCAGTTGTACTCTTTCGATCATCAACATCTCTGGCCCAATCGCTATCAATGTACGCAACAAGTTTAAAGTTGTTAGAACTTGAATAAAACAAACCGAAATCTGTTGTACCTTTGATGTGCCGGAGAATCCTCTTTGCTACCAACAAGTGTGAATATTTCAGATCTTCCATGTATCTGCTCACGAGCGCAACACCATAGAGAATATCGGTCCTTGTGCAAGTTAGATAGCGAATACTACTAACCAAACTTTTGATATAAGTTGCATTAACTTTGCTTCCACCATCTTTCTTGGATAACTTAACTCGACATTCAACAGGAGTACTCACATGATTACTATTCTTTAAATCAAACTTATCAAGAATTGTCTATGCATATCCCTCCTGAGAGATAAAAATTCCATCCTGGCTTTGCTTCACCTCGATGCTAAGATAATAAGACATGATCATGTCATCTCGAACTCATGAACCATGGAGATTTTGAACTCCTCAAACATGAGTGGATTATTTCCAATAATGATTAAATCATCCATATACAATCATAGAATAAGAATATCGCCAGCTTCATTTACCTTAGTATATAAGGCATGCTCATAAGGACATTTAGAAAAATTATGAGCTTGTTAGTATTCATCAATTCTGCTATTTCAAGCTCTTGGTGCTTGTTTCAAGCCATAAAGTACTTTCTTTCAACTTCAACAACTTTGATTCTTCTCCTTTCTTGATATAACCAAGAGGTTGATCTACATAGACCTCCTCTTCAAGAACACCATTCAAAAATGTTGACTACACATCAAGTTAAAAGATTGACCATTTGTTCTGAGCTACAAAGGCAATAATCAGCCTTATAGTTTCAAGACGAGCTACTGGAGAGGATACATCGTCATAGTCAATTCCAGCTTTCTGCTTGTACCCTTTGGCAACTAACCTCACCTTGTGCCTCTCAACTTCTCCTTTTGCATTCTTCTTCTATTTGATCACCCATTTGACTTTAATTGCTTTCTTACCTTTTGGAAGTGTTGCAAGCTCCTAGGTATCATTCTTCTCAATAGCCTTTATCTCTTCATCCATGGTTGAACTACACTTTTGATCTTGAACCGCCTCTTCATAGTCTAAAGGCTCACAACCAGCAAATAAGCAAAATAATGTTAAATCATATTGATTTTCAGTTACCTCATACAACTACCTCAATCTCCTTAAATTTTGAGGCTGTGGACTCAATGATGATGAAGATGATTCTGAAGAAGTCATTGACTATTGTAATTAAGGTGTGATTGGTGATGATGTCATCAGTGATGATAGAGTGGATTTAAATGGAGTATGTGTTGGAGTATCTGTCCTGATCTCAGTTTCTTCGTTAATGAAAGTAATCGGGCTGGCACAAATTTCTCCCTTGCTCCAGTCCCATGATTTCTCTTTGTCTAATTGAACATCTCGGCTAATAATGAACTTCTTACTGTAAGGGTCATACATCTTGAAACCCTTGGTTCTTGAATCATAGCCGATGAATACATATGGAATACTCCTCTCATCGAGCTTATTCCTCTTCTGCACTAGAAAATGAGTATAGCCAATACTGTCGAACACCTTGAAATGGCTCACATTTGGTTTGTAACAAGTCCACGCTTCTTGCGGAGTAATATGACAGTACCCTAGAAGGGGGTGGATAGGGTATTTGCTAATCTAATCCAATATTAAAGCTGATTTAAAGCTTATTAATAATTATATCCTAGCAAGTATGATATTTAACAAATTATGAGAAAGGATATGTAATTAAAACAAGGGCGATATAAACATAGATAAATATGCAAATGAGATAGTGACAAATAACAATCACAAACACATAAAGTGGTCATGGAGTTCGGTCACTCTCAACCTACATCTCCGTTCCCCACACTCAAGGAGAATCTCTACTATCTCAAAAGATAACCACATAATCGGTTTTCAACGCTCACCGATAAATGTTTATAACACTCACAATGTAATCACATAATACACTCTCTACGTGTTGGCTTCTCACGTGTCGCTTTCCTCAAGTGCTCGGATTTACAATCTCTCCCTAAGCTTTACAACTGACGCCACTCCTCTTGGAATCAACTACATCTCTCACCAACCACTCCTCTCGGTGTACTTGTGTATTACAATGTGATCTCAACAACAAAGCTCAAATTAAAAATAGATTCGTTCTCTAATAAGATGATAACTCAATTAAGCTCACACTCAATGTATCACTCACCATAACCCAATTATATAAAGTATGAAATACTAAAAGCTCAATAGATGGTGTGTGTGATCAATGAGCAATAACAAAACTAAACTCAATATGAAATCTAGCTTAATGAAAAGATTAATCAACAAATATATATATATATATATATATATATATATATATGAAGAAATTAGGGTTTTCAACCCGAAATCGCCGCCGGAGCTCGCCGCCCCCGATCAGCGTCGCCGCCGGCTCAAGATCGCGAATTCGGTCGCCATCACCGACCCCCTCCTCCTCACCACCGCCCGAAAGCGCCGCCGCCCAAGCTCGGCCAAGCCCTCGACGTCCCCGTTCAGCGTCGCCGCCGTCCCCTTGCCCTAGCCATCACCTCCCCTCCTCCTCTCCAGCTCCCGAGATCGCCGCCGCTGAGCGTCGCCGCCGGGTCATCGCCGTCTACTCCTCCTCGCCATCGAGCTCAGCCCTCGTCATCAGCCACGCCTCCGACGGCATTCGAGCTCAGCCCTCAGGTTCATCGCCGCCTCCGGAGCTCGACCAAGCCCTCGGCGTCTGCCTCGCCATCACCTCCCCCCTCCTCTCCACCTCTCGAAATCGCCGCAGCCTGCGCTTGCCGTCCCCGCTCAGTGTTGCCGCCGGCTCATCTCACTTCGCCGCTGTCAAGCTCACCTCCACCGAGGTAAGGCATCAGGTCTAAATTAACGTGTTAGTTCTAACTGAAATGCATGTTAGCTAGCGGTAAGGCATCAGGTCTAAATTAACGTGTTAGTTCTAACTGAAATGCATGTTAGCTAGCTCTAAATTAAACTGTTAGTTTTAACTGAAATGCATGTTAATGCTACCGGGATGCATGTTAGCTCTAATGGAGATGATGTTAGTTCTATTACAAGGCATGTTAGTTCTAGTTGGCGTTCCTGTTAGATCTAGTCTATTTCATGATGGTTCTATCTTCCCTCATGCATATTCCTTGGATCTATCTTCTTCCTTTTAATTTCAGCTCATACATTACTTGGTTTGCAGCACTCACTCTATGGCTACGAGCCGGATAATTTAGAGCTATTTTTGCCATGTATTGTTAAATTGGATATAAACTTTAAATTTGGTTTAAACTATCGTAATGAAATTGTTTAGTGAAATTGAAAGATCAACTTGATGACGTTTTTTGAGCGATTTTGAACTTCTTATATGTGATAATTTGATAGCTTGTATAGACACTCCAACAATTCTCTCACGTGAGGCAACAATGGAAGAAGATAAAGGCTAGGACCATGATCTACTATCTACAACATGGCTTCCCTCTCAGGTGATAATATCTTATTGTTTATAGTGTACTACTAACTAATGACATATACCAAAATAGGTATCTTTTAGCATGAGTTTTGTTTCTCTATTTTTATAGGCATCCGAACATGAGGAGAATGGTGATGAGCTTATGGGCGTTGAAAATGGTGAAGATAATTTAAACAGCGTTGATCCATATATCGGAATGGAGTTCTCTACTCATGAGGAAGCTTATAATTTCTACAATGCATACGCCAGACTTAAGGGATTTGGTGTTCGCAAGGGTCACACAGCTTGGTCGAGAAAGAAAGATGCAATCCTATCTAGAATATTTGTATGTGACAAAGAAGGCTTTAAATCTTTAAAAGATAAAAGTGAAGATGGTCGGAATGTAATTCGAAAGTTTGATACAAGATGTGGATGTAACGCAAGGATGGTTATTGGACTTGATAGAAGCACTAAAAAGTGGGTGGTCCGAAAGTTAAACAGTAAGCATAATGGTCATCCATTAACCACCCCAACTCGGGTAAAGAAGCACTACTCACATCGGACACTTCATCGAGCTCAATCGACAAAAAGGTTGATAGATACTCTTGACAATCAAGGTTTACGGCCTTCTGCCATTTGTAAGGTTGTAGACGTTGCTCATGGCAATGAACAAGGCTCTCTCACTCAACAAGAATGCCAAGCACAACTTAGACTTAAACGAAGAAACAACGTCGGCCATGAGTGCGTGAACATAGTTCGTCAATTTCAAGAGAAAAAGGTATCTGATCCTCAATTTTACTTCGCACTTGATTTAGAAAATGATGGGACGATGAGAAGTGTTTTTTGGATGGATGGTAGGTCGAGGACTTCTTACTTGCAATTTGGAGATGTTGTTTGCTTTGATGTTACATATAGAACGAACAATTTAAAATTGCCGTTTGCACCATTTACGGGCGTTAACCATCATCGACAGTCTACTCTATTTGGGTGTGCGTTACTGGCCGATGAAACGGAGGAGACGTTTATATGGTTATTTAGCCAATGGTTAAAATGTATGTCGGGTATAGCACCAGTAACAATCATCACTGATCAAGATAAAGCTATGTGTGGTGCTATTCACAAAGTTTTTCCTAAAACTCGCCATCGCTTTTGTTCTTGGCACCTTCGTAGGAATGCCTTACAAAATCTTTAATCAATGCATAATGATTATGGTGAGGATGTTTCTTTAAAGTATAACAAATGGTATTGGAGTTAATCGGAAGAAAAATTTGAAAAGCGTTGGGAAGAAATGATGGACAAATATGGTGCAGATAAAAGGAGTTGGTTAGTAAATTTATACAATCATCGAGATCATTGGGCTCCAGTGTATCTTAAAGACACTTTTACTGCAGGAATGACATCTACTCAGCGGAGTGAGGGAATTAATGCTTTTTTTGATCATTTTGTGAATGTAAATACCGAGTTACATGATTTTGTTAAGCAGTATGATAATGCTGTCAGAGCTCGCCGAGCCGCTGAACTTGAGCAAGATTTTAAGTCCACAAACTCAGTTCCTACATTGATAATTGAACATCCCATTGAAAAACAAGCTCGGGAGAATTATACGAAGAATCTGTTTACTATCTTTCAGAAAGAACTCAAGGATAGTTACTCCATGCTTCATGAAAAGTTGTCGAAGGACGGCGCAAGTGCTACTTATGCCGTTTGGAATATAGATAGCGAGGCTTAAAGCAAGAAGATAGTAAAGCATCATGTTGTTTTCAATACATCCAAAGAAAAAAGAATTAAGTGCTCTTGTGCGAGATTTGAGATGGAAGGTATATTATGCAAACATAGCTTGCACATTTTAGTAAAGAAGCAAGTATTAGAAATTCCATCAAGATATATCATGCAACGATGGACAATTAAAGCAAGACATGTTGTTTGCGGAGTTGTTAAAAATTGTATTACAAATAGTGAAGACCAACTATCTATCATTAAACATTAGGCCCTTAGGAGTAGATGCATCAAGGCACTAGAAGATACATTGACTTAAAGTACACTTCATGATAAGTTTAGTGCTTTTTTAGACTCATTTTTTGAAGAAGTTGAGAATTCCAAGATTAAGAAGGAACATAACGACAATGGAAATGAGAGCAATGCCAGCAATAAGATGCCTACTTCATCCATACCCATCTCTATAGAGGAAGCAACTCAAATCACTATTCGTGATCCAGATAAGCCTGTTGCCACGAAGGGACGACCAGCACATGCTACTAGAATTAAGTCGGGAGTGGAGATAGCACAAGAAAAGAGTATAAAAAAACAAAGATTTTGTGGGTTTTGTAAGGGAAAAGGACATTATATAACGAGTTGTCCTTTAGCTAAGGTATTATACTTAATCTTGATTTAATATTTTTTCAATGTCTTTGCATTTGTCATGATAAAGTTGCAATTTTTTTTGTAGAACAAAAATGTTGCTCGTGGAGGTCGAGAAAGTTAACGGCATCGCCAAAACAAAGTTTACGGAGGGCCAAAACAAAGCATGTGTTTCGGTTGAATGTTCACAATTTGATTTATTCACTTTTCCCTTAAGATTTATGTATGTATGGATGATAATGTGGTTGTATGGATTAATCATGTATGGATGATAATTTGAATTAATTTTTTCCCCCAGAACAATGAGGAACAAAACAGTATTAAGTGGGTACAAAACGAGCAATTAGTGGGTACTAAACTTGAATAAGTGGGTACAAAAATAAAATCATGGCATTATTAGGTACAAAGCTTGATTAAGTGGGTACAAAGCTTGATTAAGTGGGTACAATATTTGAATCCAGAGCAAAGAGGTATAAAAGGGTGCCTAAGTAGGTACAAAACGTGTATAAATGGGTACAAAACTTGAATAAGTGGGTACAAAATTTGCAGCAGAATAATGAGGTACAAAACATGGTTAAGTGGGTACAAAACTTGAATAAATGGGTACCAAACTTGATTAAGTGGGTACAAAACTTGATTAAGTGTGTACAAAAGTTTTTACAAGTAGGTACAAGGCTTGATTAATTGGGTACAAAACGTGTATAAATGGGTACAAAACGGTGCCTATATAGGTACAAAACATGTATAAATGGGTACAAAACTTGAATAAGTGTGTACAAAATTTGATTCTAGTATATTGAGGTACAAAACATGATTAAGTGGGTACAAAACTTGAATAAATGGGTACCAAACTTGATTAAGTGGGTATAAAAGTTTTTACAAGGACTTGAATAAATGGGTACCAAACTTGATTAAGTGGGTATAAAAGTTTTTACAAGTAGGTACAAGGCTTGATTAAGTGGGTACAATATTTAAGCAACGTAATAGAACTAACTCTATATGTGATAGAACTAACAAGAGGACCAGTTAGAACTAACAAGGAGTGAGCTAGGGATATCATGACATAACAGAACAAACACTTGGGCTAGAAATAACACCAGCAAGAAGTAGAACTAACAGGATATGGGCTTGAACTAACAGGAGGGCAGCTAGAACTAACTAGAAGTGAGCTAGGGATAACATTGCCATCTCGAGTACAAACACTTGTGCTAAAAATAACGTGGCACGAAGTAGAACTAAGTCGAGATGGGCTTGAACTAAAAGGAAGACATATAGAACTAACAATGACTGAGATAGGCCTAACATGGGCCACAGAACAAACACTTGTGCTAGAAATAACGCCAACTTGAAGTAGAACTAACTCGAGATGTTCCAGAACTAACAGTAGGACAACTAGAACGTGTATAAATGGGTCCAAAACTTGAACAAAATTTTGATTCCAGAATAATGAGGTACAAAACATGGTTAAGTGGGTACAAAACTTGAATAAATGGGTACAAAACTTGATTAAGTGGGTACAAAAGTTTTTACAAGTAGGTACAAGGCTTGATTAATTGGGTACAAAACGTGTATAAATGGGTACAAAACTTGAAAAAGTGTGTACAAAATTTTGATTCCAGTATAATGAGGTACAAAACATAGTTAAGTGGCTACAAAACTTGAATAAATGGGTACCAAACTTGATTAAGTGGGTACCAAACTTGATTAAGTGGGTATAAAAGTTTTTACAAGTAGGTACAAGGCTTGATTAAGTGGGTATAATATTTAAGCAACGTAATAGAACTAACTCTATATGTGCTAGAACTAACAAGAGGACAGCTAGAACTAACAAGGAGTGAGCTAGGGATATCATGACATAACAGAACAAACACTTGGGCTAGAAATAACGCCAGCACGAAGTAGAACTAACAGGAGATGGACTTGAACTGACAGGAGGGCATCTAGAACTAACTAGGAGTGAGCTAGGGATAACATGGCCATCTCGAGTACAAACACTTGTGCTAAAAATAATGTGGGCATGAAGTAGAACTAACTCGAGATAGACTTGAACTAACATATAGAACTAACAATGACTGAGATAGGCCTAACATGGGCCACAGAACAAACACTTGTGCTAGAAATAACGCCAGCTTGAAGTAGAACTAACTCGAGATGTTCCAGAACTAATAGTAGGACAACTAGAACTAACTCGATAGGGGATAGAACTAACAGGTGGATAACTAGAATAGAACTAACTCGAGATGTTCTAGAACTAACAGTAGGACAACTAGAACTAACTCGATAGGGGATAGAACTAACAGGTGGACACCTAGAACTAACACTTACTCTGCTAGGGATAACATGGCCCACCAGAACAAACACGAGATCGCATGTTAGCTCTAATCGATTTCATGTCAGTTCTAACCGTTGTGAATTCTATTACAGCTCTATGCGAGGTCAAATTTGTTAGGTCCAAACGATATCTTGTTAGTTCTAACATATTTGTAGTCAATACTATTTAACATGGGCCACAGAACAAACACTTGTGCTAGAAATATCGCCAGCTTGAAGTAGAACTAACTCGAGATGTTCTAGAACTAACAGTATGACAACTAGAACTAACTCGATTTGTCAAACTTTATTTATCATTCTCACCATTGGAATATAATACTCTTAAGCTTTTAATATAAAGCTGTTGAATTGGATTATTAACACTTTGAAATATTTATCTTTGCTTATCATGCTTTCATTGCTATCATGTTTGATTTCAGATACCTATTGCTTATGATTCCTCTTGTTCTCACTTTGGGAGTTTCTGGCATATGCAAAGTGCAGTTTGTGTTGCTGGTTTAATCACAGAAGTTTTTGTTACCTATATGCATGGTGGGATTTGCTGCATCATTTTCATCTCAATCTGTTTAGTTTTGTATTTGAACTCAGACTTTACACATGAGTCCCTGCATTCTTCTCAAACTTTTGCATTATATTTTCAAACAGCAGATTACAATGTTTATGACAACAAGGGAAATACTAAATATTCCTAAAACAACAATACATTTCTTCAAGTAAACAACTTGTTAGTTTGCAAGCTTTAATTCTCTTAGCAAGTGCTTGGTTTCCACATCTTTAACTTGGGAAACTGATTGAGGAGAGGGACATTCAAAATTTACCTTACGCTGGTTGTTATCATGATGCTCTTCTGCCCACTTGAAATACTGGCATTGCCTATTTGGATAGTTGGCTTGAAATACTGGCATTGCCTATTTGGATAGTTGGCGCAGCCCCAAAAGTATTTGCCCTTGTTTACTCCTATTTTACAAAGCTTTAGTGGTGTCGGTATGTTACAGTAGCACGTTACCTCTGCAGCTAATTCATGAGAGTCTTGGCTTGTTTCCATGTCGCAGCTTTAATTGCCTCTATGCTCAAGTATTTTTGCCCAGCTTTCTTGCAATTTTATGAGAGAATATGTTGAGGAGGATGGAGTTGATCCCAACTATATAAGTGCAGGGGTGGGGTAAATTGTTTCCGTTGGCAAAATCTTGCTGTTAGCAAAGAACCTGGCGTGCACTGTTTTGAGTTGTGGTTTTTTGACCGTTGCACAATTTTTACCGTTGCTGGTTTCAGTTGGTTTTTTGGGGAGGCAAGCTCACCGCTTGAACTTGCTGAGCTGGTTTCCTATATTTGAGGTTGTGCAATACGAACAGGGGAAATGCAAGAAATGTGACAAAGGATAATACATTTCTTTATTGCAAAGAGTTAAAACGAACACAATAAATGTGAAATTTGATTTCAATCCCTTGATTTCCATGTTGAAACGAACATAATACTTCAAATCTGAGAAAACACATTGAAATG